CCTGTCCCAGCCCTGCTCCCTCGCCCACACCCCTTCCCCCACAACAGACTTACCAGCTGGACCCAGCTGCTCTCCATGTGGCCGGGCTGTTCTATGTACCCCCTATGAGCCTTTTAAATACCCCTAACTGTACACATACCTCCAGTTGACAACCACTGGACTACAGCCTTACACAGGAGCACAGCAGGGTCCAGCAGCACTAATATCCCCTGAGGCCAAGCCAGCAAGCTGAATCAGGAAACACTGCAGCAGCTCAGGGAGGCATGTGACCAGCACGGGGCAGGGGCAGGGGCAGGGAAGTATATAAACACAGGCCCTGAGCCAGGAGGGTCAGTCTGGCCCTGGAGCCTCCTCAGGCTAGCACTCCAAAGCAAGGGGAATGCACAAGCTCTGCTACCTGGCACTGGGGCTGGCTTGATGAAGGTGAACAGAAAGCTGGTGCCCTACAAGGGAACATTGTCTGGGGTAAAGGGAAGCCTTGTTAGGCAGGCAGGGAGTCATTGTTTATGTTTGGACCTAGATGGGGTTTAATTGCTCTTGCCAGAAGGCTTATTCCTGGGTTACAATTTCAACCAGTGGTTTGGGAGTGGCTGAAAGGGGAGGGGTGAGCAGAGGCCACAGGAGGGTGCCTGAGGGTTTAACACCTGGTGGGGCACCAGGGCCATGCCAGTGTTTAAAGCCCTGCTAGGGGCTTTGATTCAGGGCTTAGAACTGGAGATCCAAGCATAGAAAGAAAAAGAAAGACTAAAGCCTAGCTTGGACAGGAGCCAGGCAAAGGCCAGGGGACCCAATGCCCAGGGAGGGCTGAGACAGCGCTAGAGGGTGAGACTGGGGTCAGGGGCCCAGATGGGGCCAGAGCAAGCTCAGTGCCTGAGGCAAGGCAGAGCTAGCCCTAGAGAGGTAAGACCAGGACCAGTGGCTAAGAGTCCAAGCAGGGCATAATCTGAGAGGGTGAGACTCAGGTTGGGACCCAGAAGTCAGGCCTGGCACAGTGGGTCTAAGCTAAGGAAAGCAGCAAGTGGGGAAAAACAAGTGGGGGGAGGGGGAGCTGAGGCTGGAAAGGCTGAGTCCCAACAAGGATGTAAAGGCCACGGTAACAGTGCTGAGCAGCTGCAGGGCACCCCAGAGGCAGTGGTGATGAAGCTGCACCACAGCCCAGCATGGCACAGGCTCTGGGCGACTGCACCAAGAACTTCCCAGGTGGTGAAGGAAAGGTGCCACTTTCCACCCTCCCCCTCTAGCTGTGGCCAGCAGCGGTGGCAGCTGGAAGGAGCTGCCCCAGCCCCGCTGCATGCCCAGGGGCGGCAGGATGTGCCATGGCTGGGCAGTGCGGAGCAGGCTCAGCAGGATGAGGCTGTGTGCCATTGGTGGTGGCAGAGAGGTGCCGCAGGGCAGATGGGCTCTGGGCTGTTGCAGGGTGGGGGTGGGTGCTGGTAGGCTCAGGGGGGCACATGCAGAGGGCTTCCTTTCACACCCCACATACCCTCAAACCCTTCCCCACATACCCCCACAACCACACTCTCCCCCCCACACAAGCACACACCCCACAAATACTGTACCCACACACACACACATATACCCCCACAGCTCCCCACAAACCCCATACCCACTCACCCATACCCACCCACAATGTACAAAAGAAAGACTTCATTTTGAGCTATTATGCAATCACTTGTATATATACAGCACAAACACACAAGTCAAGACAAAAATATTTTAAAAAATAAAATTAAAAGGTATTATTATTAATTTTTTATTTTTAGTATATAATTTGCTCTCACCATTCTGAAACAGCCACCAGCAGCACCAGAGTTCAGGTTTCCTGGCTACTCCCTTAACAGGCTCTTGGAGTTCTGCCTCATCCAGAGCAATCCTGCACCTTGCTTCTGCATCCACTGGGTGGAAACACAGCACTACTAAGGGACTCATGTTTATTTCACAAAGGATTGTTCATGTTCTCCACAATCCATTTACTGCAATAGCTCTTAAGAACTGGAGCCTGTTTTCATGTAAGGTACTCACACCCTTTGATATTTCTTTCCTTTTTGTGCCCTTGAAATCTGTAAGTCTGTTTCCGGTAGGGAACAGCCATTCAAATTATCTCTGTGATTCTTTGAAATAGATTGGTCTCTTTTTTCCCTGCGTCTGATCCACTTGATTTTCATTTTGCAGTAATGCAGACCTCAAATTAAAGTATCAATTACAGAGTCTGTCTACATGTGGCAACAGATGCCTAAACAAAGACACCAAGACCTTTTGCATTTTGGGGGCTTTAAAGCATTTGATTTTGGAAACTTCAGCTTGGTGATAAAAGTATGGTAATAAAGGTTTTTGCACTGGAGACTTGCCCCATGGGGAAATGTACAAGAGAGAAATGTTAGGGGAAAAATAGGGCAGTCAAAACCCAGAATTCTGTTAATATTTTCAAATGAATTTCCTTTATGAATCAGAGTTATAGCAGATACTGTTGACATTTCTTGGGAAAGAATTTCTGAGTAAATTTAATTTGAGAGAAAGTTCAATTTAGGAATCTGGACTATCAGCTTGGATTTTTTAAGTTCCATTTAAATCTCTCTTTTGTGGGTTTTTACTTGAACATTTTTTTGCATTTTATAACATGTCATAATGGACCCAGATAGAAGAGGCAAGCCCCACCCCCCACCCCAAAACAAACAAATAAAAAACCCCTCCTTTTGTTCCTTTACTGTTTCACTTCAGTTGATCTCTTTAAAAAAACAAAACAACCCCCTGCCAAAAAAAACTGGCAGACAGGAGCTGGGGTGAGAAAGGGAAAGTATACAGGGGCGTTGCAGGGTTACCTGCCCTCAGCTTTCCATTCCCAGATCTCAAAGAACTGAGGGTTCCCTGCTCTCCCTGTTCTGAAAGAGCCCCAGTCAGCACCAGTCTGCATTTACAAACTACCTCGATATCTTTTTTAATAAATATCAGCTCCAGCAGGCCCATCTCTGGAGGGGAATCTGCAACAGAGAATTCACTTGGGAAAATGCCATAGGAAATGAACCATCTGAGCACACAATTAAAAAGGTCCATCCCTCACCTTATTTGTCATGGGAGACATTTAACTTTGTTTTCTTATCTGCAAGTCATGGGAAGTGATCCTTCTACCTGGTTTAGCATGAGGGAGTACAGTATCTACATTTGCCATGATTTCCTGAAAGATGTGGGTACACTACAGAACCTACAGAGGAGTGCAATGATTGGAGGTCTGTAAAACATGACCAGCAAGGGAAGAATTGGGATTATTTGGTAACCAGCTTCCATTTCATCACCGTGTGCTTGTGCAAAGATTCAAGGAGATACATATTAACTTCTAAAGAGCTGCATGTGGCTCTGGAGCTGCAGGTTGGCCACCCCTGGTCTAGGGTGTTTGTACGTGTGTGAGGTGGGGCAGGTGCTTGCTGGCACTGGGGGAAGCTATCTGGGCACTAGGCCTGCGGAAGGGCAGGGTGAGGCACCTGCCCCTCCAACAGGGGAGTTGGGCTGGGAGGGGGGGGCGCTCTTTGAGGGCAGTGGGGAGCTCCATGGCCAGGCCAACAGCACAGGGGCTGGTGCATGTGCTTGTGGCCGGAGTGCAGGGCCAGGGCGCTGGGGGCCAGAGTGAGGGGCACTAGCAATTATAAATAAATGATAGAATTAAATAATAGAAAAATTGGGATTCTGTTATTGTTTAACCCCTGGTCTAGGGGGCCCAAAAGCTGGCCCTCCAACCTCCACCCCCCATACATTCACCTGCATCCAGCTGCCAAGTCTGCTCCCAGGACCCTGGCTGGCTGGCTGGGTGTCTGTGCCTCTGTGTGCGTACATGCAGCCCAGCAGCAGTAAGGAAGAGGGGCCACTTTTCCCCCAGCACGCACAGCCAGGCACACAGCAGAGAGTGTGGAAGAGTCACTTTTCCCCTGGTACCAGCAGCAATTAATGCTCATTAAAAAAATAACGCAAACACAAATTAATGCGTTAATCACGCTCATTAACAGCAATTAATTGACAGCCCTAATACTGATATATTTATACGTACTAATTTGTTTACTAGTTTGAGGAAAAGCTGATATTTTTTTCCATCATATATTCAAGTCCCATCTCACAAAACATTCAAGTTCATGCTAGATAGCAGAACTATCAATACACAAACAACATTAAATTTCCTGCCATCATCTCCAACTTCATCATAAAACAGGTGGGCACTACATTTTGTATCCTTTTCCGCAGTCATGACTGAGTCTGTCCCATAACAGCCCTGAATGTTCATATATTTGTTTCTCAGATAGAACTGAATGATAAAATGGTCATTGAATTAGGAATCACATTCACAGTCCTTAACTCATCCCTAGTATATAAGAAACCAGTCAGTACTAAATCTTTTTAAATTGTTTAGAGGTATAGATGACAAAAGCTGTTCAAATTTGGGACTTTTTTCTCTCTGAAATATTGGCCTTAAAAAGGGTAATGAAGAGGTGATGCAAAGAACTGGGGTTTCAAAAAGGAACTTTCAATTCTGGCTGCTTCCTCACTGCTTAGCCCTGCGACCTGTACAATTAAGCCAGCAGCTCTGAAAAAGTTTTGTATTGATCCTTTGATTGCTGGATAAAGCACTGAGTTATAACAACCATCAACCATGTCAAGTAACTCTTACATGTTCAGTGGCTCTGATGTGTAAACTATAGCTCTATCTGTGAGCATAGGCAACATCAAATCTTGGTTTTAATCATCTCCCTTGATCCATGTTAACGCCTGGAACTAGAGTGACCAGATATTACATAGTCTCATATATCTTAATTGTCCCACAACCATTGATTCTGTAGTATAGGCCATAAATAACACTCCAAAATTCCAAATTATGCATGCAAATAATGTTCTTAATACTTGTTTTCTGAGCAGCTATTTTTATTTTGACATTATCATACACATACATGCTGGAGGGAAAGGGAAGTTGTCACCTTTACATATCCTTATTGAGCTACAAAATAGTTACACAAGCCAGATTAGGAAAAAGACATTTATTATAAACTGGTAGATTTACAGATCTATAAAAGTAAACATCAGGGTTTTTGTTGTTTTTTAAACAGGCTAAAAGTATACAATTTGAACACAGCCATTTGAAGGCACATAGTGAGAAGCTAGAATTCAAGTTGCATGTACTCCCAAAGTCGAAAATATCACCACTGCAATTATCACTCATAATAGCACTTAAATATTAACTTAATGGACAGCATCTAGTAGACAGACACTGCTTAGGTCATCTTCATATTGCACACCAAATATACCTACTATAAGGTTACGGTCAAACAACATGATTGAGAAACAGGATTGATCTTGTAAATCACATATAAGTACAGAGAAAACAGTAAAGAAAAAGACATTCAGATCAGAAAGATGTGGTACTCAAGTACTATGATTGGTGTGAAGTGATTTACTCTTTGGTTTTTAAAATAAATGCAGAACATTGAGGTTTCCCTAGAGCAGGGGTTTTCAACTTTTTTCGATCATTGTACCCCCAGGCAGCCGGACGTGGAGCAGAGTAGCTCAGCCGCCGAGCGGGAGGGTGGGGATGGAGGGGGGTGGCGCGCAGCCAGATGTGGAGTGGTGGGGGGCGGGGCCGGGAGTGGCTGGGAGGCTGCAGCGCAGGGTGGTGGGAAGCAGCAGCGGCCACCATGTTCAAGCTTTCCCCCATGCGTCCAGCTGCCCAGGTTGTGCCTGCGCAGCCCACAGGGGTACCACTGCCCTCACCCCACTCCCATCCCTGCCCACTCACACATACCCGCTAGGGCCCTCCAAAGTACCCCTCCCCTAGAGGACAACCCCTGCCCTAGAAGACCCATTGAGATCAAGTTAAAGCCAGAAAAAGCTGCCATTTTAAAACATCAGACATGGGACAACTGAAAATACATTGCAGCTGGAAATTGCACTGACCACAGATTCTCTTTAACAGATTGTATTACTTGAAGGACACAGCTCAAGTCCTTATGAAAATTATAGCCCTGATGCTACAGTTGAGACAAGGCAGACCACTTGCTGTCACACTGAGGTTGCACTGACAACAATGAGGCTGAGTATGCAAATGGGTTCTGCTCAAACTAACTGAATTTCAGGGTGCAAGCCAAAGGCAGAAAACTGAGACATAGCTGTTAACAACTCAGGAATGACAAAGGTTACCTCTGTGTCTATGGTATGGATAGGATGGAATTCTGTCTGACTCCATTCCCTAGAATTTATACAAATTAATTCTTTGTGCCAATGTTCAGGCTAGCAGGCACCTAAAACAGGCCTTAAAATGAGGAAGCCATTCAGGAAGCGTGTATATATAAATATATGTATTCCTGATACAGGGGAAGTTGGGAAATGGTGACTCATTAATAAGCAAGTGCATAAGCTGTGGGTGATTTGTTGGGATCTTTGCTTGTTAATAAGAGAAACCTGAGGTGTGCTTTAACAGCCACTCAGATAAACTAGTCTCATTTTCTGGTGCTAGTATCACACCCTGAGCTTGGAGGTGGGTCCAGAGGCATGGGAGTGAATGTGAGCCTTGGATTATAAACAGTACTTCTCCACCAAGAAGGATAATACTTAGATTTCAACCTGTCTGAGGAAAGAAAAAGGGATTTGTTCTAAGGCATTAACAAGGAAAGCATTCCCAGCCCCACCAAGGCAATCATAATTATCCCTGAGCTGTTGGCTATGCTGACTGTATTAACAGGAATGTATGAGTATAAAAGCAAGGAAGGTGGCATCAGTGTAATACTGGATATATTCTTTACCCTGAAACTACAATTCCTAGTTCACAACTTGAGGAGTTGGAATCAGTGTGGTCCAAGAGTTAGGATGCTATAAAGTTTGCAAGAGGAAGCAAGACTGTCTTGATTAATAGTATCAGTATTTACAAATGAAATGGAAAGCAACCCAGTGAAAAACCTACAAAGGTCTTAACTGGACCATCAAAAGAAATAGGATTTGACTCAGCTTGAGGTATTCTATACCATGGAGCAACATCTTCCTATGCGTTCATTTGTCATAATATAAGCCAAGAGTTTTCTCTTCAAGGAAACAAAATGATCGGGACTAATTTTTAAGCATTATTCTTTCTTGCCTGCATCTAAAGCAATGTGTTTTTGGTGCTGTGCTTTAAATAGGACTTTTTTTTTTTAATATACCAAAAAGCAGTATTTTCTTTACAGAAGATAAATACAAAAGGTTAGTTGTGAATTGGTTGAGTATTCACAGTGTAAGCAGGACAAGTTAAATTTGAATTTTGTAATACAAATGCATATAAAATTTCTCCAAGTTAGGCTTCACCCCAGTTAAGTACACAGTAAGGGGATAAGAAAATGAAAGCTCGGAGCTAAACTGTGGATGATTTCCTGATAGTGTTTTAACTGCTAACTGACTAAAGATGCTGTGTTTCTTGATTTTTATAACTCAGGGACATGTTTTTAAAGTGCAAGGCTGCTAGCTATTTTGGAACAGTGGGATGGAAACTAATGGCAGTTTCTTCCAACTTGGGGGTGGGAGGACAAAAGAAAAAGCTCTAGAATTTTTGCACAAAGATCTATTCCCCAATTAAGAGAACAAATCAATTATTTAAAAAAAATCATTTGTTTGAATCTTCCTGTCAGGGGTAAAGACATCTCCCCTTTTTTCTTCTGCTCATGCTATTCCAAAATTTTGCTTCATTTTTTCATATACCACATAGCTAATGCTGACAGCTGGAAGCACCTTCATGAAATTAGGAGTTATGCCTCTGTACAGTCCTTGGACCCCTTCTGCAGAAATTATTTTTTGAAAGAGAGCAACCATGTTTAGCTGTGGGGCTCCTTCCACTGAGGCTAGAAAAGGAAAGAATTACAAGGTCAACCTCCATCAAAAATTCCATTAACATTATATAAACATTAACTTATAGAAACACTCATAATACAGGTGTCTGGCTAGGGTCTGAAGAGCTGGGACAGGCCCACAAGACAAGGGGACTCCATTCCCACCACCCCCCTCAGCTCTGGTCATTCAAAGCAGCTGTAGCTCCCTCCCCTCTCCCCTCCCCTCCCCACCCCCTGACAGCCCAGGGGGCATGGATGGGCTGGTAGCACCACCCCCTGCACAAAAAAATAACCTTGGAAGGAACACAAGTTCCCTTAGGTGCTCTCCTTTAGAGCACCTTAATGTAATACCTCATTTGACCAGGGTTATTTTTTTGTGTGATCAGTCATTTTAAAAGCACTCTGCAGCCATGCACGTGTTACGTCACAGCTGTAGAGCATTTTCAGGGACCTGTCACTTGTGTATGTGCCCCTTGAGAATCATGTAGGTGTTTGCACACCTAGTAGTGCTAATACTGTGCAACAACCTTAAAAGGATGCTGTGGCACCCCCAAGTGCCATGGCACTGTGATTGAGAATCACTGTTCTAGTACAACAAGCAAGTCTGTTCCAAAAAGGGAGTTTTGGTGCTGGAATAGCTTAGAGGACTTGGGCCTCTATATCTAGTTTTGGAGTAGGCCTGTATCAGCTGAAGACCCTGGCTATGAAACTCCCTCCATGAAACACTCCCCAGGGAGCAAATTCCTAGCAATGTGTTGTCCAAGTCTCATTTGTTTTACTTCTATTGCTGGGGGAATATATTTCATTTTTATAAATTTCTGTCATCTCTCTTCTTCCAATCTAGATGGATCAGTTGGATCTTTCAGTGGTGGTCTTATTTTCCTCAGTGGTCACAGATTCCTTAGTCCCCTCTATCATGTAGTTGGTCTCATTGATGTTTTAATGGACCTTTTTTTTTTTTTAAGAAATGGGTGTTTTGCTTTTACTAAATAGTGCTTGGGGCTGGAGCTCCATAAACAAGTTAAATTTTGAGAGGGAATATACATTATCTTTATAAATACATTGGGATGGTTGGAGGAAAACAGAGAGAAAAAAATACAAGTGTAATAATAATACTGGTAAAAAGACTGAATGGATATAAATTGGTCATGGGTAAATTTAGGCTGGAAATCCAGGAGGTTTCTAACCAGACCACTGAAGTCCTGGAAGGGCCTTCTGAACAAGATGCTGGGAACAAGGAATACAGTGTTTCAAGATTAAATTTGCAAAAAGTCTATGAATGGAATGGTATGGTATGATAAGAATCATCTTTGAAATAGTCATTAAAACTTGTAATATGAGGCTTTGGGTGTTCAATTTGCTAATATCCCCAAGAGGGGATTGAAAGGACATTTGATCACTGTGTGAGCTAACTGCATGAGGAAGCCATTAGGTGGCAGGGGCTTTGGATGGCAAAGTCAGTTGCTCATGGTGTGTGCAGGACCTCTAGGTATAGATTAGAGTAGAAAGTGGTACAGGGTTAGAGAATGTTTTTAGACAGTAAGTGGATATTGCACCCTGGGTGTTTTTTGCACTGGAGTAAAGGATTATATCTCAGGAGTCTTATTTTACTTTAAATAAAAATCCCTGCTCCTGTTGGGGCCCAAGGCACTGGTACCATGAGACCTACCTTGAGCCTGCATGCGAGTCCTGATAAGTGCAAGAGGGTAGCTGGCTAACTGACCACAGGTGCTAGAAGCAGTACCACATCCCAGCAACACAAGGACACCAGGATTGGCAGAGTCTGATGCATAATGTTCTAGCCATGTATTCTTCAAAGCCTGCCATGAAAATAAAGTATGGATTTGCATGGAATGTACATAAAACTTTAGATAGTTATGCAGACTTCATGGTAAGCTACAATTTTGAAGAATTCATTTGCTTCCATTTATGTACTCAGTGAGCACTTTAGCCCAATCCAAAGCCCTTAACCATGTGCCACTGACCTTTGTGACATTATTCTTCTCTCTAAAGTTAAGCATTTTGCTTGATCAGACAGAGCACTCAGCACCATGAGGAAAAAAATGCTTTGGGGCTGAATGACAAGCAACACAAAATAAGTAAAAAAATGTAGTAAATAAATTAGTATTAAAATGCCTCTTCAAAGTTTATTGTGAACATCAGGTTATTTATACTTGAAATTTACTGCCTCTATTCCACTTAGATTTTTTCAACTGAAATATACATGTGCTATGAACCATGTACAGGGGATGACAATACAGGGTATTTCACACCATGGGACAGCTGGAAAGTGAGTTCTAGAATAGATAACATCAAGGAAAGCACTGGGCCACCAAGCCCCTGTCTAGACTGGAAAAATGAGTGTTGCTTACTGTGTTAGCAGATTTGTGTTACAGTGTTTTTAAATACACTTTTCACCATATGGAGAGAAAGCCAGTGTGTTTTCACAATCATGTTGGCTGATCCAGGTCAACTTTGGGGTCCTATTTAGGGCTCTAAAGGACAAAAACAACACCATAAACTCCTTGTAGAAGCAAAATGGTAGCCCGAAGTGTCAGAGAAATCATATTTATGATGGGATCAGATTACTGTAATCCACTCACTCATGAGAGGAACTGTGAAAAAAAATATTGTAAAAAAGAAAAAAAAATAGTGCAGGGTTTGGTAACCTAACATGATCCAAGGCAAGGACATGCTCGGCGCCAGATATGTCTAGGAAGGATATGAACATGTTGCACTGAAACCACTAGATGGCCAACATCCAAATTTATGGTCACTAAAATCCACTTCCTAAAAGTCAATCATATCTTTATCCATAGGAGTAATTTTTACTCATGCCAGGAGAGCACTCGGTGATTCCAAGGAGACAGAAGCTAACCAGGAGAAGCCAAGACTGCTATTCTGTGTCCCCAAAGTAGATTTCTTCCAGAAAAAAACCCAAACATGTGATAAAGATGAGGAAGATGTTCAAAACTGGCATGGATTACAACAATGTGGGCTTTTTGTTTGTTTGTTTTATAATTGGTTGAGTGAAACACTTGAACAAGCAAGTTACAGATGTTAGCAAGTGAGGTATATTTTACAGTTAGTTTACATTTTTACTCTACTTGCATCTCTTATCTACTCACCTCATAAACAGCTAGATCTATGCCAGCATAAGGAATTATACCCAGAATATTGGGAATATAACCTTTGTAAAAGGCCTTTACACCTTCTCGTTTTAAAATCTTCTTGGCACAGTCAAACATCCCAGAATATTGTCCTGTTTTGCCCACAGCCAGTCTAGTCTTTAAAACCTAACAGAGAAAAATGCAGTTATATAGGATTATCTAATATCTAGCATATTACACCACGGTTTCAAAAGACAACCTCTTTACATTTTCCTGCTTAAACCAGCTCTTGTAATAACTACATTTAAGGTTTGGTCACAACTGATTTTATTATTTCTAAAAGGAACACCTCCCTCTGGAGTTAAATTTGAGAGTCAAATACAGTGAAAGCCTATATTAATTTCTTAAAGCTGTGTTCTGTCCTCCCATCCCCTTTTTATATACAAGACAGACTTTTTTAAAAAATAAATTCAAAAGACATCAGATGCTGAACTTTTAACTGAGGTTCTAGTTTACAAATAATTGTATAAACCACACATAAAAGTAGGGACTGTGAAGGAACATGAACTAATTTCTTTGAAAATCTTTGAGGATCATGATTTTGCATCTGAGAATGATGAAACAAAAAGATTAAAGAAGCTTCAAGGCACCCTGGGAAATTAAAATATATAGAGATCACTTTGTTCACTATTGACATGCTACAGCTATTTAACAGTACACATGATTCTACACAGCAGTTTAGCATACAGAAGTGAAGAATACAGCAGGAATTTGGCCTAATTATAAGTCTCACAGGAGGCAGTTCCCTCATGCTGGCACTTCAGCTTTCTATTCTGGTCAGAAGCACCATACCAGCCACTTAATTGTAGTATTAAGGTAGTATTAAGAGAGGGGTACTTTACAGTAGAACAATTTGTCCATTCTCACATACTAAGATACTTGACCTATGATACAGCATTTACGTTGTTTTATAGTTCAAAATGTCTATGTACTCAGAAGCCATCTATGATTTGACTGGACTGACAGAAATGACTCCATTTAAAAACCATCACCATTAGTACAGAATGCAGTTGGTTTTTATCCCCTTTATGAGAAAGCTATCAGTATGAATCAACATTTAATGTTAGATTCAAACCTTGCTGCTGGTGAGTCTGTGCTGAAATAGACCGGAGAATATGAGATATGCTGTATAAGGTCAGACAACAAGTCCATCTACCCTGTACTCTGTATTTTATAGTGGCAGAGCAGATGCTAAGGAAAAAAATGTAGGGCCTAGTCAGATTGATCTTCCCCCTGCCCCTCTATTCCTACAATTTCCAGTGTTCAGAGCCTTAGGAAGCCCTATTTTAGAAGATGCCCTCCTATCACGTTTAATATCCACTAGTGAACGTATCCTGCATGAATCCAATTTTCTTTTGAATCACTGTTGGCCTCAACAACAGCTAATGGCAAACTGTTCCACAGACTAATTACATTGGAGGGAAAACAATTTATTTTTGTTTTAAGCTTACCACCTAACAATTCCACTGAATCAGCCCCAGGTTATATTAGCATGAGAGACAGGAAGCAGTAAATCCCTATTTACTTCTCCATGCCATTCCTCATGTTAGACTGCTGTCACATCCCCTCCTCAGTCATCTTTTCTCTAAGATAAGAAGTCCTAGCCTATTTAGTCACCCCTTGTATAGAAACCTTTCCATGCTTCTCAACATCCTTGTTGCTCCTTTTTTGTACCTTTTCTGACCTCTACTGAATCCTTTTTGAAATGTAGGGAGGGGGACACCAGAACTACACACACTATACAAAGTATAGGTGTGGCACAATCATATTTTCTGTTTAGTTTTCAAATTCCTTCTTAGTCATTCCTAATATTTTATTTGTCCTTTTGACTGCTGCTGAACACTTGGCTGAAGTTTTCAGAAAGCTATCCACAATGATCCCAACATCTTGACCCCAGTACAAGCACCTCTGCTGCATTATATGAGTTAGAGGTTTTAGGAAAATACTGTATCTTGTAGTCAAACAGTAGGATGAGAAAGAGTTACTAGGCAGCCCTTTTACATTCCCAACAGAAGTTACTACAGTACTATTCTCTCAGGTCCTATGTAGCATGGGAAGGAATAACAAGTGGATCTACAAAGCCTATACTAAAGGGAAACTCAGAGCTGATTAACCTCCTCTGCACAGTTCACCTCCTCTACCTAAATCTTTCCC